ATTTCATACCCAGTCATAAACACTCCTAAAATTCTCTATAATTTACCTAACTTTTTAAATAATAATAAGGTATTACCCTCCTCCTTAACTGTCTCATATGAAAATTACAAATCTGCTACACACAGAGGTAGAACACTATTAAGAAAACAAAAATGGTCTACTTTACAAAAACTTTTACATTGTCAAACTGATAGACAGTTCTGGGATCTTATCTCCTCTTTAATAAAGCCTAAACTGAGATCCTCTTTAGTCTCTATCTCTCAGCTACAATCTACTTTTCAAGCTAGAATGAATATTACAAATTCTTTACCTCTCTCTTTTGACTCTACTCTTTATTTTAATACTTTACTATTATCTGACTCTATTCCTACTAATACACTTGATAATTCCTCAGATAAACTATTCTCTCTACCTTTCTCTATAGAAGAACTCTAATCAGCTTTTAATCATATTAAACTACATAATATAAAGTCAGCTTTAGGACCTAATAAAACTAACTACTCACTAATTCTATCTATTCCTCTTGAAAATACAATCCATCTGTTAAACCAATGTATTCAACAGTTGTCATTACCTACTTCCTGGACAAATGTTACTCTAGTCCCTATTCTTAAACAAGGCAAAAATTCTAACAATCCTGACTCTTATAGAATTGTAGGTCTACAATCCTGTTTTCTTAAGGTTCTTACTCTCCTAATTGATAAAAGACTTTGAAAATGGGCCCAATCTAATAATATTATTCCCTCCTCACAAAACAGGTTCAGACAATCTTACAGAATCCATAACAACACTTTTATTCTTAGAACTTGTATAAATAAGGCTGAAGCCTCTAAACTTCCTCTTTATGTTATATATGTTAATATGACTAATACTTTCCCTTCTACAAATCACTCTGCTCTCTGGTACAAAATGTACAAACTTGGCATCTCTGGCCCTATCTTTGACTAGCTTAGAATTCTATATAAATTAATTAACTATTCTATTTTTATAACTATCAGACCTCAGATTCTTTTTCTTCTAATATAGGGATTCTTACAGGTGATCCTGCATCTCCTCACTTATGGAATATTTTCTTCTCAGACTTATACATTCCTAGTCACCCAGCTGACATCTCTCTAAATAACTCTTATATTTCTCATTTAGAACAAGCTGATAATATTGTTATTTTCTCTACTTCTCCTACTACCTTGCAAATTAAACTAAATAATATTATTTCTTGGTGCTCAAAAAATTTTCTTCAAATCAACCACTCTAAAACTGTTGCTCAAGTATTTGGTAATACAACTATAAAACCTACCTTCTCTATTGATTCAAACATCTTAAACTATGTTGACAAATTCTTGTACTTAGGTATAATATTTGACTCTTCACAAAATAACATTTTTCACTCTCACTACTCAAACAAAGCCTCAAAAGCAAGGTCTATTACACACACTATACTAGCCTTAGAATCTCATATTAGTATAATCCCTCCTAAACAAGGAATTCAACTCTATTTTGCTAGAATTGATCCTCATCTTATTTATACATGTGAATCTACTCCTGATACTAATAAAAAATGTCTCTTCCTTCTACAATCTGTACAACATACTTTCCTTAGAAGACTATTAGGTCTAAATCCAAGGTCTCTTCTAACTCCTCTCTTTACAGAAACTGGCCTTCTTCCTATACAATTTAGACAAACAATTCTTGTACTAAACTACCTAATATACTTACTACAATTACCTCCCTCACACTTTGCTTTCTTTGCACTTCAAGAATCTATACAACTTTATAACAACAAACATTACTCTTGGTATGGAGATCTTCTTATTAATCTATCAAACACTACTTCAGATAATACTTTACAAATCCCAAACCTACATACCTCTCATAAAATAGTTTCTCAATTTATTAAAACTGTTAAAAAATCGTGTTACAACACCTTAAACAACTCTCTTCTAAGTTCTACTCAAACTACTCTTATTAAAGACAGACATGAATTTAATAAAAAAAACCAACCTATTCTAAAAATTATTCACTTTAGACATTATCTTGGTGTCACAATCCCTGAGCACAGAATTGCTTTTACTAGACTTCTTCTTTCTGACTACATACTTGCTCTTGTTCAGCTTGCTAGAACCACTTCTAACAGACATGGTTCTATACCTCAACACAAAAGACTTTGCAGATTCAACTGTAATAAAATTGAAGATCCTATTTATACTCTCTTTCAATGTCAAAATTCTGAAATCTCTAAACTAAGACAAGATTTCCTACTTTGTACTCCCTCTCCTCCACCCCTTCTAGAGGAGGATTACTACTTAGCATTGTTTTCTTAAACATTTA